GTACAGTGACACAGCACAAGAGGAGCAGGGGTGGATCTTCTTTGCTTACTTTATCCCTGTAGAGCTGAGATGGAGCTCAATGGTTAAGCACTTGCAGAGCATGTGCTCAGCTCTGGGTCCCATTCCCAGAAGCACACACTAAACTAAACAAACATAATTCTAAGCCTCTTTTTAAAAATACAATTAACACTAAATTTGAACGGAATAAGGCAAAACTCCACTTGACTAGAAAGTCTGGCTTGGGAATTGACTGAGGAGGGTTTTCTGGAATTATAATATTTTATAAGATGAGGATTTAAAAAGTGACATAATTTTAAAAACACTTTAAGTAAACTCAACATATATATCAAACTAATATATCTGAATGGTAAAATCCCTTACAGCTTACCGTACTCTTCAAAAATATCTTCTCTACATTTTTCTGACTCAAACGGCTCTTAGAAATAATAGGGTAGAATGAATAGCTTAGACTAATGTTATTATTACCACTTAGTTAATTGCCCTCTTACTCAGGTATCTCTATTAATTAAAGGGTCACTCTACACACATTAGCAAAGGGGTGCCACCCTGCAGGAGCCACGAAATCATTCTTTCACATAAATACATGTATATCAATACAAGGGAAGCTTGAAACATTCAGGTGTAGGTTTTCCTACACTTGAATTTTCTTATGTTCACAAAACAAGAAGGCAAGACATAATTACCGTGCACAACAGTACCAGCAACTTTCAGCCATAGCATCCAATAGGAAGTTAGCCAGCAGACAACTTTGCAGCCAAGCAAGGTCCTAAACAAAGTCTCCTTTGTACAAAGAAAAATGTTTCACTTAAATTTTTTTTTTAGAAAAAGGCTGTAACTGGCAAAATGTTTTCCTCAATGCTTGCCCCAAGTTCAGTGTTGTAACTTCCTATTCCAGACACCCACTGCATCAATCAAACTGAGGACAAATACCCAAGATGCACTTCTTCTTCCAATCCCCAATGGTGGATGGATCTTTTCTTTCCAATCTTATTTCCATCTACTTAAAAAATAAATAGCTTTTCTAAAGAAAATGAAAGTATTTTCCATATCCACTCTCTTCAAAGCTGAAACCAAATTCCAATTTTATTTCTTGTTTAATAGATGGCCTCTCCCCCAAATGATAGCACATTTTATCACTAATAATGGGAATATGGTTAAAGTTCTATCTCCTTTGCTCTCATGGTTTTAATATCAACTTCAATATAACATTCTTAAAAAGTTTCTTAATCCTAAATGCAGCTATTTGATGGTCTGTATCACAGGTGCAGCAGTTGTAAGAAGGGACTAGTGCCTTCCCTCTACCAGTGGCTGTGAGGGTTAAAGATCTGCATCAAATATTAGCATGGTAAAGGCCTGCTAAACATTATCTACATGCAGTATGTCTGCCAATGTCTTTGTGTCTTATAACATATAGGAAGACACCATTACAATTCATTCCTCATTTCAGAAAGGCTTAGAGAGTGCCCAAAGTTTAGCTATGCTTGATGGAAAAAGGAGCCCACAGGCAGAAGACTACAAGGGTCTACTACAGAACACAAATTAGTTAAGAAGGAACTTATTATTAAATTGGCATATTAACTATAAATACATTTTATTAAAAAGCTTGATTTCCTAGGTTATTTGTGGGGTTTTTTGTTTGTTTTGTTTTTCGAGACAGGGTTTCTCTGTGGCTTTGGAGGCTGTCCTGGAACTAGCTCTTGTAGACCAGGCTGGTCTTGAACTCACAGAGATCCATCTTTCTCTGCCTCCCGAGTGCTAGGTTATGTAGCATGTCTTTCATAAAAGTTAGTAAATAATTTATTTTGGTAAAATGTTTTTACTCAATCCAAATTAATGACATATCTTTTTTTTTTCTTTTTTGATACATGCAACTTCCTGAAACCTGATAATGGTAAATAGATAATCTGTATTTCAGTATTAAAAATATAAAACAATTTTGTTATGCTGAGGATTGAACCTAGGTCCTTACATATGGCAATCACTGAGCTACAATCCCAGACCACAAATCATTCTTAAATCTAAAAATGTCCTACTTAATGATTGCGGTGGTTTGGATAGATAGAAAAAGTATGTTTTTCCCAAAACTAAAGGGTTAAGGAATGCAGAAGAGATTAGTTGGGTTAGTAACAGTTATGGACTCAAAGTTCCTGCTAGTGGCAGCATTCAGAATGGCCTCTGTGAGATAGGGCTGCTTCTAGTGCCAGGGTTTTAATTGTCAAACATACCAACTTCCCCTCCTTATTTTTAAAGGCAGACTAGAAACTTCCAATATTGGCTAACCTAGAGTACAACTAATCATCTACCAAATATTTCTTCCTAAGATGAACAGACTGGCCTCGAGACTGGTAGAGCTCCCCTGGACTGATTTTTAAATACTGTTTTGTTTTTTGTTTTTCAAGAAAAGGCTGGCTTACAGCATCATTAACTGCCTTTATAGTAAGACTATTCTGAGTTTGCAAAATTCAAAATGAAATTCTTTTTTTTTTTTTTTTTTTTTTTTTTTGGTTTTTCGAGACAAGGTTTCCTGGAACTCTCTCTGTAGACCAGGCTGGCCTTAAACTCACAAGAGATCCGCTTGCCTCTGCCTACCCAGTACTGGGATTAAAGGCGTATGCCACCAACACCCGGCTCAAAATGAATGACTCTACTTATCTTAATATTATATAATTAAGGATACTATAAAGGAGTTAGAGGCGCTAATGTTATCAGTCTGAATTAAAACATTTCATAAGATTTTTATTCTTTTTAAATTAAAAAATGTATTTATTTTATGGGCACCCAAGTGTTTTACATGCATATATATATAAGCTCACTTCATGCCTGCCTAGTGCCTGTGGGGACAGAAGTCACTGGATCCCCCAAAACTGGATTTATGGATGGTTTCTAAGTTGCCACGTAGGTGCTGGGAACTGAACTCCAGACCTCTGCAAGAGCAGCTAGTACTCTTAACCACTGAGCCATCTCTCTCCAGACCTTAATTTTTTATTTTTGCAGTGCTGGGTATCTAACTAAAGGCCTCATGTATACTATCAAGGCCTCATGTATATTAAATTGAGCTAATTCTCCAGTATCCAAGCTACAGAAAATCTCAGCTAGAATAATGAACAGTTCAAATAGAACTTCTGAGATCTAGCTAGTGACTTTAATTATACAAGCCCGTTACTCCCACCCCCAGCATTCAGTTGATGCTGGGTCTGAACCCAGGGACTCTTAGAAGGGAAGAGTTCTATTACTGAGCCATAACAGTTTCATCATTTTATCTTTAAAAAACTAAGGGTTCCCACTGACTTGTACTTGGGTTTAGTATCACAGTACAAACCATTTTATTAGCAGCACTAATCAACAAATCACACAGCACACTCAATTCTTGACAGGAGCTACCATGCTGACTTAAGATGCCTTCCCCACTGGTAGACAATTTTTTTTGTTTTGTGACTGGGTGGATCTATTTGTGCAATCCTGGCTGGCTTAGAACTCTCAGCCTCTGCCTTCAGAAGGCTAGGATTATAGGTGGGAACTACCATACTTGAATTTTTTTTTTTAAGCCACAGCTTAATCTTTAGGATAAGGAGCCTTAATATTCCTAAGGATCCTAAGGATCTGAAAGCAGTCTTGCTGTTTGGATAAATTTCAGTCAGATTTACACTAAAAGTCCAGTAGCAAGGCTGTTATTTTGTAGGTCAGTGGAAGCATATTTACATATTGCTTTCTAAAGCCACTGCCCCTTTATATCAATTGCATAAATTCAAATGAAAAAGTTAAGTGCATTCTGGGATTGAGAAGTCTCAAAACCCACAGGCAAACTTTAAAACATTTTAAAGATTTATTTTATTTCTAATTGTGTGTCTGTGTGGGGGAGTGGGTTGGTATGTCCATGCAGAATATAGTGCCTGTGGAGGCCAGAAAGGGATACTGAATCCCTGAAGTTAGAAATAGAGTTAACTCACCCAATATAATTGCTGGTAATCAAACTTAGGGACTGTTGAAGAGAAACAAGAGCTCTTAACTGCTGAGCTGTTGCTTCCAACATAATACACTTTCAACAGTGTGAGTGTGTGAGAGAGAGAGAGAGAGAGAGAGAGAGAGAGAGAGAGAGAGAGAGAGAGAGAGAGAGAGAGAGAGAGAGAGAGAGAGAGAGAGAGAGAGAGAGAGAGAGAGAGAGAGAGAGAGAGAGAGAGAGAGAGAGAGAATTCATGCATGGATATCAGAGGACAACCTATAGAAATTGAGTCTCTCCTTCTACCATGTGGTCCTGAAGATTAAACTCAGATTATTTGGCCAGGTGGAAGGCATCTTAACCTGCTGAAACATCTTACTGGCTCAAGTTTTAAATTTTTTTTACTGATTTATTTACTTTATATGCATTGGTATCTGCCTGCCTGCAGTCTGTGTGAGGGTGTTGGATCCCCTGGAACTGGAACTACAGACCACTGTGAGCTGCCACGTGGGTGTTGGGAATTGGACCTGGGTCCTCCAGAAGAGCAGCCAGTGCTCTTAACTGCTAAGCCATCTCTCCAGCCCATTTTTAATTTTTAGGTAATAGTCAAAACGACATCTATTGGGGGAAGACCTAGGCCCTGCCTTGGATGAAATGACAGACTCTGGAGATCCTCCATGAAGGGCCTCACCCTCCCTGGGTATCAGAGTGGAGATTGGGTGGGGGAATGGAGGGCCTGGGGGGGGGCAGGGGACGAGGGGAGGGAGAGGGAGCTGGGATTGACAAGTGAAGCAAGCTTGTTTCTAACTTAAATAAAAAAAGGGAGAAAAAAAAACTACATCTAAAGCTTATGCTGTATTAAGTGGCTCACTCAGCTTCATTTTGGGACCTACCCTTATGTAGAAAAAAGATGGGCTAGTAACTATTTTCTATTTTAAGAGATGTGGGGGCAATAAAAGATTTCCACCTCATCCTCAGTTACAGCCTCTTTCTTAACATTTTTCTTTTGTTAATGTGCAAAAACAAAAAGTTATGGACTTGCCTTGTGAGGTCGAAAATATAGATACAGGCTGAGAGGAAGAGGAAGAAACAAAGGAATCTGAAAGAAAATATACAGTATAAAAATTTGACAGGCTTACATAGGAATCTTAACTTCAACTTTCTTTTTCTGGAGGTTTATTAGCCAAGGGAAGATTCAAACTTTATTCCAGTGACTGTTTTCACTCACCTGCCAGTGACACCTCATTTCACTTCCAGGATGCACTTCTAGAAGTCAGTCTTTTTTAGACAAGCATTATCACCTTCCAGAGAAAAGAGGAAGTCCTTCCATTTCATAACAGCTACACCCTCAAGAGCAGACACCCATCTGCTACCCTTTGACAAAGGTGGTTTGTAAGTACTAACTGCTACTTGCTTTCAATAATTTTCAACTACATTTTGAAGCATGAAGTTACTAAGATGACAGAGGTAGGTGGATATCTGTGAGTTTGAGGCCAGCATATACACAGCAAGTTTCAGGATAGCCAGGGCTGTCTCAAAAAAACAAAACAACAACAACTAAAAAGTCACTGATGAACACTTAGAAATATTTAACTGGGCTAGACAGTAGTGGTGCATGCCTTTAAACCCAGCACTTGGGAGGCAGAGGCAGGCAAATCTCTGAGTTTGAGCACAGTCTGGTCTACAGAGCAAATTCCAGGACAGTCAGGGATACACAAACAACAACAAAACAAAACAAAACAAAAACCCAGGCAAAACCGGACCCTCGGTATTAAAAAACAAAACAAAACAAAAAAACACACACACAAATTCACTGGAAAATAGGGCTAACATGAGAAATTTTTCATCTTTGGAAATCAAATTCCTCCAATCTGTCAACATAATTTAACTGTACCATAAACATACCCTTTAACTAAGCAGTTAATGCTTCCAGGAATCCATCCTACAAACAAGCCAAGTATGTGTACAAGGGCATATGTGTAAGGATATCCAGTAAGAGTACTGGTTTTAAGTACTAGAAATAATGTAAATGTCCACCAACAGAAGACTAGTTAAAAAACAACATCTAAGCCAGGAGGGTGTTCCCATATGTTCAGTGCAACAAAAGGGACTAACAGAAGGGATTAATGGTCTGGAGTGAACCCAAAATGATAATAAAGGTTTGTAACCCCAGTATTTGGGAATTAAATTCCAGAGGGTCCGATCAAGGCACCCTGGGATACATAAAAGTTTGGCACCTTTGTCTCTGTCTTCTCTCTGTCTCTCTTACACATAGACCCACTCATGGTGGCACACCTTTTAATCCTAGCATTAAAGAGGCAGAGGCAATGGCAGGCAGATCTTTTTGAGTTGAGTCCAGCCTGGTCTATATCTAGGTCTAGGCTAGCAGAGTTACATAGTGAGACCCTGTTTCCAAAAAGAGAAGAGGAGAAGTTGTCTGGGATAGAAAGAAGATTTTGCTTTTTTAGCACTTAAGAAAACATGATCTTTTCAGTAAAAGTAAAGAAAAAAAAGTCTCCTGAGATAGCAAAATGGCTCGGCAGTAAAGGTGCTTGCTTAATAATCTAAGTTCAGGGATCTCTGTGAGTTTGAGGCTGGGCTGGACCGATAGCCTCCAAAACAATACAGAGAAAACCTGTTTCGTAAAAACCAAAATAATAATAATAATAGTAATCTAAGTTCAGTACCAGAGCTCACACATGATAGGAGATAACTGATTCCACAAGGTTGACCTCTGATCTCCATATGAAAACTATGACATGCATGCACCAGTATAAATACAAAGTAAATGTTAAAAGGTCACATGAAAAACAAAACATTCCCCAAAATGTCCTAAATATAAAAAATGTTATGAGTTCCTTTTTCTTCCAATTATAAAAATGTTTTCACAAATATTAAAGTTTGATTGCTTTAAATAACTAAGCAATAGCAGTATCTGTTAAGTATTAATTTAGGAAAATTATTTTATAACAAATACAGAGCACATTAAAATCAAGGCAGAATTTGGTGGGAATCAGATAGTCACTCATTAATTCAAAATCAGAATTTGAAATTCACTTTCCCAAGTTGCCTTAAGTATCACATACATTCTTAAACATAAGAACCATTCTCTGCTGGGCGGTAGTGGTACACGCCTTTAGTTCCAGCATTCTGATCTCTAAATTCAAGGTCAGTCTGGTCTACAGAATGAGTTCCAAGCCAGGACTGTTACATAGAAAAATCCTGTCTCAAAAAAACAAAAACAAAAAACAAAAAACCTGTTCTTACTCTTCTTAAAACAATTTACTATTATTTTAAATTGTATAGTTTAAAATATCTATGTGTGGACATGTGCACATGAGTTCAGGTGCCTGCACAGTCTAGAAGGGGGCATTAGATACTCTAGCACTAAAGGCATAAGCAGTTATGATCTACTCTGAGTGCTGGGAACCAACTTCTGCAAGGGCAGAACGTACTCAAGCTCAGAGCCATCTCCCTAGCCTCTCCCTTCTTTTTAAAAGGAAAATTCTTACTATCTGTTGCTCAGTGTTTCCAGATGGATTCATTTCTAAATGCAATTACTGCCAACTATCAACTGATCAGTTTAAATCTAAACAGTCAGGTGACCTATTATCCCAGGATTCAGAAGGCTGAGGTAGGAGATTGTGGGTTTAAGGACAGTAAGACCCTGTCTCAAAGAATACGCAAAAACAAAAACAAAATAAATGTATCTGACAACTGGTTGCTGGGGGTCCTCCTTTAAGTAATCCCAATGCCAAAGTAAAATTTTAAAAAGTCCTATGAACCTTGCAGCTGTCTGGCTGTTCATTTCTACTTATTACCCCCACCCAGTGGAAAATTCCACCCTGCCAATTTGTATGCATAGCATCTGTTCTGATAGAGAACAGAGATAACCAGCAGTTTGCAACAATATTGCGTGAGGTTTCTAACTTATAAAACCACATGATACTCATACTTACATCTACCCTATAGGGATGTGAACTCTAGAACAGCGATCTTAATCCTCCAATACAAGTGGAATAACTTACTGTAAGCAACTAGTCTAATACAGTAAGAGCCTTAAAACTTGAGTAGTGAGTTGTTGGAATGTAGTAGCAACAGTCACTGGGATAAATAAAGATCACCCCAGAAGAGACTTTGCTATCTTAAGTGAACAAGGGCCAGGGGAGGGAGTGGAACAGTAGGGGATGAGGGCAGGTGGAACTGGGCAGATTCTAAATGCCTTTATATATCTAAATGATACACTTTGTACAGTGAGGAATCACTAAAGGATGTGTGTGACACTATCATATATAAGTGTTTTGGCGGAGAAGACTGTTTTGTTTGGAGACAGGGTCTCAGTATGCATCCTTCTAGAGTACTGAGTTCACAACCATGTGCACTATATCCAGCTTTCACCCAAATTTTAAAAAGAACTCAGATCTTGGTCGGGCATGGTGGCACATGCCTTTAATCCTAGCACTCAGGAGGCAGAGGCAGGCCAGCTTGGTCTACAAAGCAAGTTCCAGGACAGCCAGGGCTATACAGAGAAACCCTGCCTCGAAAATACAAAATAAAACAGACAAAAAGTAAAAAAAAAAAAAAAAAGAAAAGAACTGTGATCTCTACTAAATTGGAAAGCTCCTGAGTAAGGTCAGGCCTGGTGGGTTAAAAGTTGTCCTCTGCCAGGCATTGGTGGCGCACGCCTTTAATCCCAGCACTTGGGAGGCAGAGGCAGGCGGATCTCTGTGAGTTGGAGGCCAGCCTGGTCTACAAGAGCTAGTTCCAGGACAGCCTCCAAAGCTTAGAGAAACCCTGTCTCGAAAAACCAAAAAAAAAAAAAAAAAGAAGTTGTCCTCTAACCTCCACACTTACATGTTAGTGAACTGTCCTGGAGAAACTTTGCAAACAGCCTAAGTTAGGCCTTCATCTCCACTGGCAAGTCATATTGGTACTATTCCTTCAAAGGTTATGATGACTCTATCTCAGTGGCAATCTTACTCTAAATCCATCATTCCAGTCTGATATGAAGAAAAATATGTCAGACCCAATTTGGAAGACATTCTGTAAATTATCTTGATTGGTATTTCTCAAAACTGTCAAGATCAGGGGCTGGGAAGATGATTCTGTGTACAAGCCAGGGAACTGAGTTCAGATCCCCAGCACTTATGTAAAAGCTAAGTGTGATGCACACATTTGTAACCCCAGCACTGGGGGAGGGAGCTTTACAGACAAGCAGATCTTGGAGCTCATTGGTCAGCCAGTCTAGCCAAAACAGTGAGCTCTAAGCCTCAGTGAGGGGGAGAAAATAGTAGAGAATAGAGGAAGGACAAATAGAGTGAAAAATTTATAGTGGGCCATATAAAGATGGAAAATACATAGAAAGTAGTGGGCCATATAAAGATGGAAAATACATAGAAAGTCCAAATTATGTTTATTATTGTGTTTTCTTTAAATTTTTTGACTGTTAATGAGCTAACTACAGAGTAACATTTGATTGTGGGGGCTGCTAAGCTAAACCAACATATATATTTTAAAGACATCTAGACTTCAAAATTTGAGTCTAAGGATATTTTACTTTGGAAAAGAGGTTCTGCTTTTGTTTCCACAGATGAAAAGCTAAGGATTCCTTCTAGGCTAATATGGTTTGATCAAACAAGACCCCCTGAATCAATGGCCCAGGTGATCCCACATCCACAACAGCTTCAGAACTGCAGGCTGAGATGACCAACCACACAAAATAACCCAGTCAGGACCTGAACATATAATTCTAAATTTTCTTAGGATCCAATAAAATTAACAGTGCCCCAAATCAGCAGGAAGTAGTCTAAAAAACTATGCCCAAATTCCCAAATATTGTTTATAAAGGTTTGTCTTCATTTAAAGGGGGTTAGTTATAAACGGTTAATGGTCACAGTCAATCTCTTTCTAAAGAAAAAAAAATAGGATATGATATAGAAATGAATATTTTAGATTGTTATGGATTTTGGTTTATTTGTTTTTTTGTTTTGTTTTGTTTTTTGTTTTTTCATGACAGGGTTTCTCTGTATTGTTTTGGAGCCTGTCCTGGAACTCGCTCGGTACACCAGGCTTGTCTCGAACTCAGAGATCCTCCTGCTT